TATCTTTTGCTCTATCTCTATCTCTATCTCTATCTCTATCTCTATCTCTATCTCTGACTCCCTCTCACAGTCCAAGGAACCAGAGTATACAAAGGTGCGCCGAAAAGTAGGCCGTCTACGCGATCCACACTCAGAGAGTCAAGGTATACAACCGATATACGTCTATATATAAATCATTATCCTCTCCATTTGCGTTGCCTAAAATGTAGATTTAAGCAAAATTTACTCATTATTTTTATCTCATATCATGTTGCATTCAAGTCCCGTATGATTTGTCTATGTATTTCTCTGCTCCTGATTTCGATATATCATATATGAATATATGTTTTATTCACGCTCTAATCAACTTCAATACTAACATACGCATTCAATCACTTCATTCGCAAAAAACGAAACATCGCATTGTATTAAACTTTTTAGAATCGGACAATCCAGGTTCAACAGATTCCGAAGTTAGGAAAATCCTAACGCTTCACATACCAATTACAGAATATGACACACTCGGCTCCGAGTCCGACAATGATGTGTCCGCCCGCGCTCTTAACTCGGCCAAATATCGCGCACAACGCGGTAAGCCATCGATAATCGAATATTGCGTATACGCAGCGTGCAACAACTCACTCTCTCTCTCTCTCTCTCTCTCGTTGGCTTCCTTGCAGACACTCAAGATGAGACATCCTCCTCGTCGGAGACCACGCCCACCAGCATGACCCGCAAATCGAAGCCCCCCTTCGCCGCCCGCAAGTCCAGCAAGCCGGGCACCAGCGGCAAGCGCCACGTGCGCAGCTCCAGCGGCTACTCGAGCCACAACGAGGAGACTACATTTAGGTAAGCCGAGACGCCGAACGCCGAGCAATTGATATGATATGTTCCCGCTATATGCATAATTAGAACCCTGTACGTTTAGCATATCCAACTATCCACCAAACTATCAGGACCACATCAATCCACCGGCCCGTTTCTCGGATGCCAACGACAAGGCGAAGACACAAACGTCGCCGCGAATGCGTGCCAATCAGAAGCTGCAGCGTGAAGCTTTCCAAATCAATGTCTAAGGACACATAAACTACATTTTTAAATTAAATAAATATTGGAAAAAAACAAAAGCAAAATGTTGATTAAAAATTGAAAACTCTTCAAAAGGTCATGATGGCCCCACATAGAAGACAGACATATTTGTTGTAAGTCCCTATGGAAGAAACTAGAGCAAAGTTTCTACTAAGAAGCACAAAACTGTTGTAAAATCTTCAAAATGAAAACAAAAATCGATACGATAAAGGCAAACATAATTGTTATGAAAAATCTAAACAGAGAGATAAAGCTAAATATGGCAAATCCTATATAGGGCGAAAATCTGTTGTAAAACCCAAAGTATTATACAAGAAATCCTTATAGACTTGGCTAACACACACACTCCACTTCAAAAACTAACAAGCATTTCTTTAACAATTTATAAATTGTTAAAAATTCAAGTATTAGAGTAAAAACTGCAAACTAAGTGAAAGAAAAGAAAAACAAAAGCAAAAATTTATGAAAAATAAAATACACAAGTGTAACTATTTACAACAAACATGAACAAGAAATCAAGAATAATAAGAACTTTTCGAGCATTTTTGATTTTCAACGAACAAATTTAATTTCAACTACGGAAAGCAAGAAAATAAAAGAGAAAAGAAATATAAACCATAAGACTTATTTACATACTGATTATGCTTAGTTTAACTTCAAAAGCAGCAAAAAATAATTATAAAAAAATATTTATATTATAAATGGGATAAATGTTAAAAAAAAAATAATAATAATTAATTAAAAATTAAAAAATATATATATTATTGCAATAAATGTTAAAAATAACACACAAGATTACAAATTAAGCATTTAATGTGTATTTAAAAATAAAATTGCGGCAGGCCGTATTTAAAATGTTTTGCATAGCTGAAGGAACTACCGAATGTAGAGTAGTTGAGAGCAGAGCATTAAAGGAAACGGATTATGAAAGACAACTACATATAATGCATGCATGAAATACACATACATATGCACACACACACACATATATAGATATCTAGTGAAAGGTTTGTGTTAAACTGTTTATGTTTTTCTTTCCGAACCCAATGAAAAACTGAGGGAAAATGTTAGCTAGTTATTTAAATTAATTTAAAGTATATACAAACATGCATCTAATAGTTTATGAAACTGTTGTACATAGCTAAGCATTATAATACCATATATGTATATGAATTTAGAGGAATATCTAGTAGCCAAAGTCGTAAGCCAGCATGCATTTTCATCAACGGAACACTGAGAGCTCAAGATACTACAAGACACAGAAATATCTATATATATATATATATAGCGCCGATTCCAATTCCCGTTTGCCAAAGCTCTAGACCATATAGCTTTCACACACCTGTACACCTCCCGTACACCTGTACTATAAATAGACGACTCTGATTACATTTTGCCATAGCCAAGCAGCAAGCAAAATCCAACCAATTTACATGACAATATGATCACAGCAACCAGGCATACATTATAATATACTAGTATAACATTTAAATCACACACACACACACACACACACACACAACGTTGTAGTTCACAAGAAAAACAAGCATATAAAATATAAAGCGAAACTCACATCTCTAGTCATATTAACTATTAACCTAACTAAACAATCTCTAAATGGAATTACAAGTTTTTGGCAATGCAAAACTTTATCAGACTGCACCGATTTAGGCATTTCAAAGTTTTGGAAAACAAATACATATATATATATAGAAGAAAAAAAAGAAAACTCTATGCATATATCTTGGTTGTAAAAATTGAATAATGTAATGAGAGAAAATTGTAAAATTCACTTGGCAAAAATATCAATAACAAAAGAGATGCAGAGAAACGAAAAACAAAAGAAATGAATGAAGCACAGTTAATGTACATTGGTTAATGTGCTAATTCCATGGATTGTGGTCTACGAAATGCAAAATACATGACATGACATAATGATAAAGATAAAGACAAACAGCAAACTGAAGTTTTACTCAAGGGCTAAAGGGAAAACCAATTGAGGGGCAAAAGGCCGAATTCCAAATGTGTCAAAGAGAGAGAGAGAGAGAGAGAGAGAGAGAGTGAGTTATAACAGAGCGAGAGAGAGAGAGAGAGTTATAACAGAGAGAGAGAGTTATAACAGAGAGAGAGAGAGATAGAGAGAGAGAGAGAGAGAGAGAGAGAGTTATAACAGAGAGAGAGTGAGAGAGTTATAACAGAGAGAGAGAGAGAGAGAGTTATAACAGAGAGAGAGAGAGTTATAACAGAGAGAGAGAGATAGAGAGAGAGAGAGAGAGAGAGAGAGAGAGATAGAGTTATAACAGAGAGAGAGTGAGAGAGTTATAACAGAGAGAGGGAGAGAGAGAGTTATAACAGAGAGAGAATAAGAGATTAATTGGCTTGGCTGTTCTCCACTTGGTGTTAACTAGTTCAATTTAGATGTGGAAGAGCAGACACTTCTAAATTCAAGTAATTTCTGAGTCAATTGGCATTCAGAGTTTTGGGCTTTAATGGAATCAGCTCCCAAAAATAAATACTTGTTTTAATTGGTTATACAATTATCAATGAATTTCGCTCTGCAAATATGCATAAGGCAAATTCGCTTATCAATTCCTCACTCACTTGGCCTTATCTACACTTAAGTCATTTTAGAGCTTCTAATATAACAGTTTAGAATTCAACTCGACCCATTGGCAACCGAATACTACCAATTGACAGTAAAAAATACTAACTTTATCTATATTACATTTATGCCTAACTATATTACCTTAAGTTGGCCAAGCTCTGAGTAATATATAGCTGCGCTCGCTTTAATCTCCTCCATCAGAATGCCCAGTCAAGAGCTTACAGTTATCTATACAGTTAGTCATAGACAGTTTTCTGCCATGCTCGTCTATCAATAGCAAATACAAAGACTGAATTTTAACTTTGCCGCAGTGCGAACGCTTGCAGAGTTGACAATAGATCGCATTTATTTACATTCGACATAGTTGGTTTCGTTTGATTTGATTGAAGAAAACTCACACGCAAAGGCATACAGATTCAGGCGTATAGAAATAATGTAATAAAATTCTTTAGCTACGTTACACAGACACATATTCAAAATTCTTTGCAATTGTTGCACTTAAAGCATTTTCATAGTTCATATAGAAATTCCAAGCAGCCGAGCCAGAGGCCGCAGCCAGTAGACAATGATTGTGTGTTGCTTCCCGCTCAGTTATAAAATTATTAAAATTTAGTTGTTGCTTACCGAATAACTTAAGAACTAAACAGCGATTGGCTTTACAAAATGAACAGGCTAACATCTGACTTAAAGCACATTTACAAGTTTTGGGTTAGCAAGGAGCGTGCCTTTCACGGGGGGCGGGGCACTTACAGTGGCCATGATTAACGGTTAGAGGTGTGTGTATAAAAAACGTTTTAAGAGTGTAGCCACGGCTGCTTAAACGCTAAACTCTAGACTAAATTAGAAACATTATACGTTAAACATTATTCCAGTTGTCAGTTTTGGATTATCTATTCTTTTGTTTTCTTTCGTTTTGATTGCTTTGTTGCTTATGGCAAATATCAGAACATAATAGGCTTATCCTTGCACTGGTCTATCACATAGCCGGTAAAGCGTTTCAGAAACTTGGGATATTCACGCTTGTAAACAGCCCGTAAGGCGCTCGCTGGAGCCCAGCCACCGGGATTAACTGCGGGGAGTGAAACGAAGCACGCATTTTAATATAATTGAATATAGAGATATATACATATATACGAGGCTTACGCACCCACAGAACAGTAGGTTACTTTGCAGGTCAAGTCATCCCGACTCAGCGGCTGGCCCTTCACATAATTATCGGGCAGAAGTGTTTGGCAGGCGAGTATGACCGTCAGAAAGATGCGAACACATTTGCCGTTCTTCGACTAACAGAGAAATATGGAAAATATTAAATATATTTTGCATTGGCAGAGACAGAGAGCGAGGGCGACCCACCTCCTGCTTGGCATAATCCGTCGAGTTGTTGCACACCACCCACATGTCGCAGGTGCCCGGCTCGAGGCCATCGGTGATTTTGCGCATATGCGACCAGAACTGGGCGTCGCGCTGGCTGGCTGGCCAAATGCGCTTGTGTGTCTGCAAGAAGAGCAGCGTGTCCGCCGAGATCTTCTCCAGTATGGTGCAGTCCTCCAGCGTGGCTGCAAGTGCACATACATATACATACATATATGAAAGTCTATATATATATACACATATGTAGTCAGTGATGGATTACTCACTCTCCCAATCGTTGCGAAACTCGGGCATGAAGAAGTAATGGCACATCTCGCGCGCTGTCACGCCCTTGACTGTGTGATAGGCCTTGAGCGGATCCATGACCATGCCATTGACCTCCTCCTCGCGCTTGTACATTTTGATTTCGCCCTCGTCGGCAAAGATTTGCCAGCCATTGCCGTCCTGGCCGACGCCCTCGCGCGCATAGTGCAGCTGCTCCTTGCACACGCGATCAATCTGCATGGGAGGGCAATTACTGAATCGTATTCAATTCGTTTCCAATTTCCGGCTTACCTCCGGCCAGAGTGGATGCGATTTGGCCTCGGCCCCGGTGCCGAACTCCTCGCGCGCCTGCTCGCCCTCGGCCACGGCCTCGTGCGGCACATTGACCAGCGTCTGTGAGATTTGCGACTGGAGTCTCAGCTTGAAGCGCATCTGCATGTCCTCCTCGATTTTCTCCAGGCCCGTCTCGACCGCATCAAAGAACTCATCCTCGGGCAACGTGGAATGTGGACCCTCCTGCCAAGCAAATAGTCAAGCATCACACATGGATTACCAAGTCAAGTTCAACAAAGGGGTTCGGCTCTAATTAATTGAATGCAAGAAATGCGAATCGTGACGCGCATAAATTAAATCCGAGTCTCCCAGAAATCCCCAACGGGCGACACTGCCGCCGGCATGCGAAATGGCTTGAGCATAATAGATGCCCATAGCACATGCACATGGCAGTCAGGCAGGCAGGCAGTCGGGCAACCGGGCAGTCGGGCG